TGACCAAGATCCTGTCCGCCGTAAACTTGAAGTAGCCGTAGCTCGGTGCTATCCTGCCCGCCGTCACCTGTGTCGCCAACATCGGCGACAGTCCGCTTCGTCGACCTCCGACGTCCTCCTGCGAGGAGCCTGCAGTCGCCGACGACTGCAACCCTTGCACCTGAACGCCGCCGACTTCATCGGCGTGTATTACACCACGCTGCCTCGACGTGCCTCCCACACTGCTGCCGACTTGGCCACCTCCGGCGTGGACGCCCACGTCGACGCCGCCTTCGTTGGTCACCGGTCGAGGAGAATCCAGTCGAGAAGGTGGATGCTCTGTCGCCCACATGGTGCGGAGTCCAACCTCCACGACTGCCCAGGGTATTGCCCCGTACTCCTGGGCCTCATGGCATCTTCTCGCATCCTCCAGCTGTCCCTCCAGGGTTCCATCACCTCTGTGTCGCCTACGCGCACGCTAGGGACTGTACGGCTGCCGGTCTACGAGCAACTTAGGTAAGTGACCACTACGTCGACATGACTAAAAGGTAAGTCATGTGTCGTCTACGCTCACCGCACCATACGGAGATAACTACTACAACGGGAGCTAGACTACGGGCTAGGCACGGATGCTCGTGTGATCAGTGCGTTCATTGGTCCTTAGTCGTTTTCCTAGTGCACACACTGCTTGCTAGTTCACGGGGCAAGTTGGCAAGAGTTTCACTAGAGAAAGTTGACAACAATGGTACAATGAAGTTGGCATGGCAAGACTACATCAGAGCTAGCATTCAGATTGGTCGACTGCCAGTGCAGCATGGTCGATCGCGTTCCAGCACGACTTGGTTGACCGCGCTTCAGCAGTGCAAAGTCGACGGCGTGCCAACGTCGCAGGCTGACGGCGTGCCAGCGCTGCTCACGCAGAACAGCAGCGCACCCGCTTCGCAGGTGCTCGCAGATGATTGGCGGGCTGAGCCTCGTCACCTGCACAACGCTAACACCAAGTCAACCTGGCGCTGATGACTGCTTCTAATTAGCCACGTCGACCTCGGGATACCACCACCGAAGTCGGGCTCGCCAACTTCGCCTGGGCGTCCGTCGCACTCCTCCGCAGAATCTCGTCACCCAGGTAACTTGGTCGACTGGGCAACCAAGTCGACCAGGTGCTCTTGTATGTGCCCGTCGACCTCCCAAGTTGACGACCACCTCCACGTCGACCTCACCAGGTCGACCACGCCCCTGGTCGACCAGCTCCAGGTCGACGTCACTTCTGGTCGACCAGCTCCACGTCGACTAGCAGTTCTAGTCGACCAGCTTCATGTCATCCAGTGCAGTTGTCGGCCGACCACTCGAGTCGGCTACCCGAAGTCGGCCCCCGTACAGTGGTCTCCGTGCAGGTCGACCTCCTCGTCAACCAGCTTGCCCACTGCTGCAGGTCGGCTGCTCCCTTCACACCCGACCACAAAGTCGGCTCCGCCCAAGCGAGGATGGGGCCAACACACAACTCCCGTTGACACTCACCGCACCATGCGGAGAGTCACTCTACAACGGTAGTGAGCTAGACTACGGGGGTTGGCACGAACTTCTAGGAGTGATCGTAGCTTTGCTTAGTTCCTTAGTGCTTGCACATTCATGGGAGAAATCGGCAAGAGTTTCCACTAGCAAAGTCAAAAGTTACATAATGGTTGAACAAGCAATGACAAACAATGACTGCATTAGGCACCTAGCAACTCTGCAGCTAGCCTGGCCGACTACCAGCATAGCTTGGTCGACCGCCTGCCAGCGTTGCATAGAGGAGCCGCGCCAGCACTGCAGAAGAGCGACCTACCAGCATTGCAGGGCGACGGCGTGCCAACGCTGCAGCAAAGCGGCTAACGAGCGTTGCCCTGTAGAAGACAACAGTGCGCACGCTCGCAGGTGCGCCCAGACGATTGGCCTGACTTGCATCGTTGTGCATCCGTTGGCTATTGTTTGCGCTTGACGAGCCACATCGACTTCGGGATACCAGCCCGGAGTCGCCTTCATCACTGCGACATCGACGACGTTTGCGTGCCTCCGAGCAGGTTACTTGGTCAACCACCAGGTGCCTCTGGTTGACCACAGCTCTTGTGGAACTACCCTCCGGTCGACGGACCCCTTTCATCGACCAGAACTGTTAGCTGTTGTCGCCGAGCTCCCCTCGTCGACCGTTGCTCATATATCATGTTGACGGACTGCTCCGTCGACCTTCCAGTCAAACTGCCCCTCATGGTCGACGACCCACACGTCGCCCATCCCAATCAGCTGCAGCTGACGAGCTCCCTAGTCGACGGCTCCAGCCCCATGACAGTCCTGTGCAGGTTCAAAGCCACCTTGTCGACCTGCCCTGTAAAAGAATGTCGTCGAGCACTCTGGGTCGACGGCAACACCACAATGATCCCCTGCAGCTCGACGAAGCCCGTCAAGTAGCTCCTTTGCTGTGAACGGTCGGCTGTTTCTCCCGTACATCCAACCAAGTTGTCTTCGTTGCCCAAGCGAGGGCGGGGCCAACATTCCACTTCCGTTAACACCCACCCCCCCCCCCCCCCCCCCTCCTCCTCCCCCTCCCCCACCTCCTCTCAACTGCTGTTGTCATATGATTTTCATTTTGTCCTATGATTTTGACTGCTGTTGTCCTAGAGGTTTGATATTCCTCTTTTGAAAATCTCTTGCGTTGCTTTTTTCTCCAAACGAGCCTAGTGATCCATGCACACCAATTTTTTGCATGTAGCATAACGTTTTGCACAACCCAATAAAGCCGCATTTCAGCACGCAAAATCCGATGCACGGAAACAGATGGCCAGGTGCGGTATATTGAGTCACCTTTCACTGTTACAAAGTGCACGAAAAAGTTGGCCCCGTAGTGTCAAAACATGGGTGTTAGCTATATGGGTGTTAGCACTAGGGGGTACATAAATTCACTCAATGTTGTTCTTGTACCCCTCCCCTTGACCTAATGAACGCACTATTATTCTCGACATGGTATAGAGCGGGTCCTTCCTAAGGACCATATTTTTTAGAGGGCCCACAGTTTAGCCTTTTTTTTCCTGCCCGAAATCTGCTCGTTTAGCTCGCGAACCGCCCGAGCGTAGACCGTATAGCCCGCGCCCGGTCCCTTTAGCCCGCAAACCGCCTGAGCGTGGACCATATAGCCCGCGCCAAGCCCGTTTAGCCCGCGGACCGCCCGCGCGTAGCCCGTACAGCCCGCGCGCCGCCCTTGCGCAGCCCATACAGCCCGCGCGCCGCCCGCGTACAGCCCGTACGGCCCGCGCACGACTAGCACGCAGCCCGTACGGCCCGCGCCAGGCCCGCACGCAGCTAGTACAGCCCGCGCTAGGCCTGCACGCAGTCCGTACAGCCCGCGCTAGGCCCGTGCGCACCTGCCCTGCCGCCCGTGCACTTGCACTGGCCCTACACCTCGCCGGCCCACTGTCCCTAGTGCCCTACTGCTGCAACTGCCCTGCTTCTACTGTAATTGCCAGCGTAGTGCCAGTGTAGTGCTAGCAAGCGCAACTGCCCTGCCGTGCCTGCACGTGTAAGCACTGGTCGCGCCGCCCTGCCCTACTGAACGGCGCCCTGCACTGCCCTGCTTGTCAGAACTACATTGTAGGCTGTAGTGGGGCACTCCTTATGGGGTACAGTATTGTTAGGTTTTGCCTATACAAACCTTGTACTGCCCTGTTTCTAGTCATTTCTCGTTTTATACCGGGTGACATGGTTTCAGAGCAGGTTCCCTAGTAGGAACGTCGCCCTTAGCGGCCCGCCCTACCGTCAGGGTTTAGGGTCCCGATCTCGCCGCCCTTAGCGGCCCGCCCTACCGTCGCCGCCCTTAGCGGCCCGCCCTGCAGTCACTGCCCTTAACGGCCCGCCCTGCCGTCGTCGCCCTTAGCGGCCTGCCCGCCCCGTCGTCGCGGCCCTACCTACCCTGCCGCCCGTCGCGGCCCTACTTTGCCGGCCGTCGCGGCCCTGCTCTGCCACCCTTCGTCGCGGCCCTGCCCCACCGCTCTACGTGGCGGCCCCTGACCTGCAGCCGCCGTCGTGGCCCCTGACCTACGGCCCCACGTCGCGGCCCCTTACCCTGCAGCAGCCGCCGAGGCCTCGTGGCGTGCAGCAGCCGTCGCCCCTGCTGCCGTTGTAGCGGCCCTGCTACCGCCGTCGAGCCTGCAGCCACCAGTGCAACCGCCGCCGTCATCGTCGCTGAGGCCCCGCTGTCGTGGCCCTGCCCTGCCGCCCTGACGCGGCCCTGAGCCTGCCGCGGAGTCGCGGCCCTGCCCTGCCGCCTTGTCGCGGCCCTCCTTGTCGCGGCCCCTACCTTGCCGGCGCGCCACGGCCCTGCCCCACCAGTCGCGGCCTCTACCCTCCCCTCCCGCCACTGGTAAGCGCACCGCCGCACCCGCGCCGCCCTGTCGAGCCGCGCCGCCCTGCCGAGTCGCGCCGCCCTGCCGAGCCGCGCCGCCCTGCCGAGTCGCGCCGCCCTGCCGAGTCGCGCTGCTACGGCTGCTGCTGCTGCTAGGCTACTACTGCTGCTCCTGCGGTCATGGCTAGCCCTAATGTCCTTACCTTTGATGCTGAGGGTCGAGAAGTCGATTTCGAGGTCTGAGTCGATGATCTGCACCCTTTCCTGCAGTGTGACTCTAGGGACGGAGTCTCACTGTTTGATCACACGTCCGGCGTCTCTGTTGCACCTGCTGCCGATGCTGACAGTGCACTTCGCTCGCAATGGACCACGCGCGATGCCGCTGCTCGTCTTGATGTTCGTAGTCACCTGCCGTCTGCTGAGCGCGCGCACTTTAGCTAGTACAAGACTGCTAAGACACAGTACGACGCTGTTGTTGCGCGCTACTCCTCCCCTGCCTCTGCTGCCCTTAGCCACCTCATGCTGCCGTACCTGTTCCCTGACCTAGCCGCTTTTGCCACTGTCGCTGACCTCATTACGCACCTCCGCACTAGTGACACCCGCTACTGCGCTGCGCTTCCTCCCGAGTTCTGCGCTAAGAACCCCCCCTATGTACATCACTCTCTACTACCTCGTCACCCGGCTCCCTCACTCCCTTCGCTCGGTCAGGGACCACTTCCTCTCCCTTTGCCCCACCAAGCTCACCGTTGACCTCCTCGAGGAGCGCCTCCTTGCAGCTGAGAAGAGTATAGTCGCTGTAGAAGCCTCTCGTGGTGACCCTCGTGCCCCTTTCTTTGAGGGGTGCTCCCCCGTCCCTCTATCGCCCTCTGTTGTCTCTGCTGCTGCTGTCGACCTCGTTGGCACCGAGTCGGTCGGCGCTGCGTCTGCTCCTAGTGGGAGGCACCGCAGCGGCAGAAGCAAGGAGGGCAAGGGTGCTGGAGGAGACGACGGGGGCGGCGGTGGTAGCGGTGGAGGCGGCGGAGGGGGTGGGGGTGGAGGTGGGGGTGGTGGCGGGAGTGGGGGCTTTGGCGGCAGAGGTGGAGGTGGAGGCGGCGGCGGCGGCAGCGGCAGTGGGGGTGGCAGAGGCGGCAGCAGCAGTGGGGGTGGTGGCGGCGGTGGTGCTGGTCGGGGTGGCGCAATGCAGTGGGGAGGTCCTGGTGGTGGCCAGCGCCAGCTGCACCAGCGTTCTCGTGAGACCCTATCGCCCCAGCGGCTTCGTGAGTGGTACGCTGGGCGTGGGAGGTCTGGGGGTGCTGGTCCTTGTGCTTATGTTCTCCGCACCGGCGAGCGCAGTGGGGAGACGTGCGGAGGACCGCACGTCACGCACCGCTGTTTCGGCCGCCTGACAGACGCCTGGCGTACACAATTTCCAGACGCCACTGAGCTCCCTCGCTGGGGTGATCTGCTTAGGTCGGGGGTTGCTATCTTTGATCTGTCAGAGGTCCACTGGAGATCCCCGATTGATCCTAGGGAAGGGTTAAAGGTGTCAGAATATTATGTTTCTCTAGTCTGCAGTGGGGTACTCTATAGTGAGTACAACCCTTTAGGGTTTGCTATATGTATCCCAATGTTTGCTAGTGAACACCCTCTTCTCTCATTTCTCATTCTCATTCATTCTCACATGCTATCAGAGCATCTACGCTCCTTGCCTGTGGTCCCACCCAACTGCTTCCGCTGCTACTCTGTGTTCGGCACGCCCCGTGGCGTGCCCCTCGCGCTACTCTTAGCGGCCCCGTTGCCGCCCTTCCAGGCCCCTCGCGGCCCCTTCGCGGCCCCTTTGCCGCCCTTCCTAGCCCCTCGCGGCCCCTTCGCAGCCCCGTCGCCGCCCCTTTTACAGCCTGTCACCGCCCTTCCAGGCCCCTTGCGGCCCCTTCGCGGCCCCGTCGCTGCCCCTATCGGCCCCGTCGACGCCACCAGCGGCCCCGTCGACGCCACCAGCGGCCCCGTCGACGCCACCAGCGGCCTCGTCGCCGCCCCTATCGGCCACGTCGCCGACCCTAGCGGCCCCGTCGCCGCTCCTATCGGCCCCATTGCCGCCGCCAGTGGCCCCGTCGTCGCCGCCAGCGGCCCCGTCGCCGCCACTTGCGGCCCCGGCCCCGCCCCGGCCATGCCCCGTCGCCAGCCGCGGCGCACCGGGGGCACGTGCACCGCCCCCCCCCCACCTTTTCCCGTCGCCTTTTGAGGCGACCTGGAGGGGGGGGGCGAGCGTCGCCCCTTCTGCCGCCTGCTTTGGCGCCCTGGGAGGCCGCGCATCGCCCCCCCCCCCCCCCCCCCCTTTCCCCCCCCCCCCCTCCTCCCCCCCCCCCCCCCCCGTAACCTCCCTACCCGCCATCCCGCCCTGCCCTGTGTTCGGGTTTGGGGGTGGCGAGTGGGGGGTGGCAGGTGTGTGGTCTCCCCTGCTCCTCCTCCTACTCTGTCTCCCACTGCTGCAGCTGCTGCTGAGGGGGGTGGGTGTGTGGGAGTCAACGGAGTGGTGCTAGGGGGTGGGGTGTGAGTGAACCTAGGGGTGCAGTAGGGGGTATGTGAAATGGGGGTGGGATAGTTTGGGGAGGTTGAAGGGGGTGGCGGCCGAGAAGCCATCAGCTCCAGTTGCCCGTGAGACCGTTGCGCCAGTCGCCCGTAAGCCAGTTGCGCCAGTCGCCCGTGAGCCCGTTGCTCCGGTCGCCCGTGAGTCCGTTGCTCCTGCCGCTCAGAGTTAGCCGCGGAGCCAATTACTCCAGTAGCCCACTACCTCCTCTCCTCTCATAGTCCCTCCTCCTCCACACTTGTCCTCTGCGATAGCCTCTAGCTTTGCTTACATTTGTGAACTTTAAACTGTTGCTTCTTGTACTTGTGCTCAGAATGTGTGGTGACATTGTGATCCACCCTGAGCTTGTTCTGCTTTGCTTGCTGTGCTGATTACACCCCACTTTGACTATGGGGGTGTGTCAGAATATTATGTTTCTCTAGTCTGCAGTGGGGTACTCTATAGTGAGTACAACCCTTTAGGGTTTGCTATATGTATCCCAATGTTTGCTAGTGAACACCCTCTTCTCTCATTTCTCATTCTCGTTCATCCTCAAAACAGGCCCGTTGTCCGGGGGGGTTATGGGCGCACTGACCCGCTATTTAACAAGCCCTTTTATCCCAATGGTCTTGTGGTTGGGATTCTGACATGGTATCAGAGTGAAGGTCTTGGGTTCGAATCCCAGTGTGTGCACTTCGGGCATCCTAGTGCGGGGGGGTGTCAGAGGTCCACTGGAGATCCCCGATTGATCCTAGGGAAGGGTTACAGGCTCGTTGTCCTAGGCGGTTATGGGCGCACTGACCCGCTACTTAACAAGCCCTTTTATCCCAATGGTCTAGTGGTTGGGATTCTGACATGATCTTGATTATGATGCTATCCTTGCTGCTATGTATGCTGTGACTGTTAGAGCTGAGGGTGAATATTACCTGTGTGTTCCGCCCGACCCGGGCATTGAGGCTGCTGCTCTAGGTGCTAGTGAGTCTACTGCTCCAAGTGCTGGAGAGTTTGCTCTCTCAGGTACCGCGTCGGCTCAGGCCTTGCACACGTTCACCCTTGACTCGGGTGCTTCCCGCTCTTTCTTTCGCGACTGCACCACACTCTCGCCGCTCAGTCGGCCAGTGGCAGTCTCCCTGGCTGACCCCTCTGGGGGTCCGGTCCTTGCACACTCCTCCACGTTTCTGCCGTGCCCGGCGGTCCTGTCTGGCTCTCTGTCTGGCCTCCACCTCCCCTCGTTCTCCACGAACTTGGTGAGTGGAGCTGACCTTCAGGACGCCTGGGTTGACCAGTTCACTCCTGGAGGTCAGCGGGTGACCCACTGTTCGTGCACTCGAACGGGCCGGCACCTGCCACGTTCTCCCGTCAGCCTGGGTCGAGCTTGTACACCCTGACTACCAGGTCTCCTCCCGTTGCTGCGTCTAGTTAGGCAGCTGCTTCGGATCAGGTGTTTGCAAAGCATCCCGGTCTGGTCCTGAGTCTGCCCCCTACTCGTGTCACCTCCTATCTCACCAGACTCTTCTCTGGCACAACCGCCTTGGTCACCCCTCCCTGCCTCGTCTTCGAGGCATGGCCTCCCGTGTCCTTGTCACTGCTCTTCTACCGTCTCTCCCTCCCCTTCCCCCGGGGCCTGCCCCTACCTGCGTTCCTTGCGTCGAGGGGCGGCAGCGCGCCGCTCCTCACTCCTCCGAGTTTCCTCCATCGAAGGCTCCCCTGCAGACTCTTCACATGGACGTGTGGGGCCCAGCCCGCGTCCGTGGATAGGGTCACGAGTGCTACTTTCTGCTGGTCGTTGACGACTACTCGCGTTACACCACAGTCTTCCCCTTGCGCCGCAAGGGTGAGGTCACTGAGGTGCTGATCGACAAGATCCGCGCTGCTCCTCGTCAGCTCAGCGAGAGTTTCAACTCGGACCTTCCTGTTCTGCGTCTGCACTCCGACAGAGGTGGAGAGTTCTCCTCCGACCTTCTGCGAGCCTTTTGTCGTGCGGAGGGCATCCGCCAGACGTTCACGCTTCCGGCCTCTCCACAGCAAAATGGGATTGCTGAGCGCCGCATTGGCATGTTCATGGACGTCGCTCGTACGTCCATGATCCATGCGGCTGCTCCCCATTTTCTGTGGCCGTTCGCGGTTCAGTACGCTGCGCATCAGCTCAACCTCCAGCCCTGGGTCTCCATGCCAGAGACCACACCTACTCTGCGATGGACGGGGAAGGTTGGCGATGCGTCTGCATTCCGTGTCTGGGGATCTCGAGCTTTCGTCCGCAACTTGTCTGTGGACAAGCTGTCCTCCCGTGCTGTTCCCTGCGTCTTCCTTGGCTTCCCCCTTAACGCGCCTTGTTGGCAGTTTTACCACCCCACCTCGCGCTGTGTTCAGTCCTCTCAAGACGTCACGTTTGACGAGTCGGTTCTTTACTACCGTCTCTTCCCCTACCGCACTGCCCCCTCCCCCCCCCCACCGCTCTTCCTTGCGCCAGATCCTCCTCTGGTAGATCCCCTTCCCCCTCAGGTTCCTGCCCCCTCAGGTGTGTCCCAGGTAGACGCAGACGAGCCTATTGAGGTAGCTGTTGACTCTGGTGCGGCTAGGGGTGCTGAGCCTGCGGGTGCCGGGTCTGGGGGTGTTGAGCCTGAGCGTGCAGAGCCTGGGGGTGCTGAGTCTGGGGGTGCTGAGCTTGGGGGTGCTGAGCCTGGGGGTGCTGAGCCTGGGGTTGCTAAGTCTGGGGGTGCGGAGCCTGAGGGTGCAGAGCCTGCACGTGTGGAGTCTGGAGGTGCTGAGCCTGGAGGTACTTTGGGTGCTAAGCCTGCGCGTGTGGAGTCTGGAGGAGCTGAGCCTGGAGTTATCTCGGGTGCTTCGTCCCGGCGGGAGCCACTCTCTCCACAGCAACTGCGCGTGTGGTTTGCTCGGCGCTGGAGCCGTGCTACTGGAGCTGGTTGTACTACGGGCGCTGGAGGTCCTGCTGCTGCTGGAGCAACTGGAGGTTCTGGAGCCACTGGTCCCAGAGGTGCTCGTACTGGAGGTACTAGAGCTGCTGGGCCTGGTGGTGCTACTTGAGCTGGAGCTGCTAGAGGTGCTAGAGCTGGCGGTGCTGCTGGAGCAGGTGCTGCTGGAGGTACTGGAGCTGGCGCTACTGGAGCTGCTGGGGCTTCTGGTGGTCTTGCTGGAGCGGGAGCTACTGGAGGTGCTGGAGCTGGAGGCGCTACTGGAGCTGCTGGAGGTGCTGCTGGAGCTGGTGGTGCTGCTGGAGTTGGCGCTGACGCTGGGGGTGCTGATGCTGTCCCTGCTGGTTCTTGAGGCACTACACGGCCGCGGCCGTACTTCGTTCCGCTCCTTGAGCACGTTCTCGGTCTCCCGCCTTCTACTGGTCCTGCTCCTTCCTTAGAGTCTCCACTGCTTGTCAAGCCGCAATTGCAGTCACAGTTACAGCTACAGCCCGCCTCCCCACTGCCTGCTCCTTCTCCTTACACTGGTCCGAATGGAGGTCTTGCTGAGCGTCGTGAGCCTACGTCTCGTCCTGCGTCGCCTGTTCGTGCTGCTCACACTAGTCGTCGTGGTTCGCGTCAGCGTCCTCCTCCTGTCCCCGGCACGCACCAGATGGCAATGTGTCCTTCCGCTGCTTCGCATCGTGTCCCTCTGCCGTCTCCTTCTACATCCTCCCTTCTTGTCAGTACGGACCCAGAGTCTGACTCCCTTCATGCTGCTAGTCCTACTATCACGCGTCTCCTGGCCATTGTTGTCACTGACCCCTCCTTTGAGTCTACTGCTGCGTCTGCTCTTGTTGCTGAGCTTGTCGACTTTGCTGCTCGCTGCCGTCTAGACTACGCCGCTAGTCTTGTTGCTGAGTCTGAG